CATATTTTTAAAAATTGGTAGAATTTTGTTAGCAAGCACAATTAGGAAAAATTAAGAATACAAAGCCGTTTTCAGAAAAAAATTGAGGGAATTAGTCGTTAATATAACAAGTTTGAAAGATACCTTTGGAAAATTCATTAGCAATGGGGATTCCCTGGTGGTCAGCGGTTGACAATCCACCCGCCAATGCAGAGGACACGAGTTTGATCCCTGCTTTAGGAACATCCCACATGCAAAGTGGCAACTAAGCCAATGGGCCACAGGTACTGACTCCGATCTCTAGAGCCCTAGAGCCAGAACTACTGAGCCAGCATACTGCAACTACTGAAGCTCTTGCCCATAGCGTTGATGCGCCACAAGAAAAGGCATCCCAGTGAGACAGCTGCTCACCGCAGCTAGAGACTGGCTCTCTCCTACAGAAACTAGAGAAAGCCTGCGTGCAGCAAGGAAGACCCAGGGCAGCCAAAAATAAATAAATAAATAAATCTTTAAGAAAAAATTCATCAGAAAGAATATAAATTATGAGGAGGACTAAAAGTGGCATTCTTGTTGTTCAACTACAAGTTGATAAACATGTAGTCATTATGACTACAAGCGAAGAAAGAAATGACTAATATAAGGAAGACACACAGGGGAAATGAAAATGTAAAGGACTTAGTAAAATCAGGCATCCATTTATCATCACAAACAAGAAATAGAGGCAACTTCTACTTCCTAAGAAAGAACATGTTCCTGAATTCTGTATGTAAATTCAAATAGTCATTCTGTGGCACATACCTATGTCTGTGAAACACTTAAGATACTCCAACAACAGATAACTCTTGGTTAAGGAGACATATTCAGAGTCTTCCCTGGTAGCCTAGTGCTTAAGAATCTGCCTTGCAATGCAAGGGATGCAGGTAAGAACTCTGCTCTAGGAATTCAAAGTCCTGCACATCCCGGGGCAACCAAGCCTGCCTGCTTTAGAGCCCCTGCTCCATAACAAGAGACGCTGATGTGCCTGAACTACAGAAAAGTTAGCAAGCTGCAGCAAAGACCCAGAGCAGTCAAAATAAAGATAACGAGAATAATAATAAACTGGAAAATAAAAAATTTGAAACTTCAAAAACAACGGGGTAAGACTTATCCTAATATTCGAAGAAAATCAGTATCTTCATAGAGAGCCACACTGAAGTTGGACAAAGAAAAAGAAAGGCAATTCAAATGAAAATAAACTTGTTTTAACAAATAGTGCAAGAATTAATCGATATTCACAAACAAATAAAATGAATGTTGACATTTTGATGATTAATTTTCAAACAACAAACACAAGGCCTATAAAAGAAAATAAGCATAATTTCACTTCATTAATAGAGAACGCCTCCTCTGAGAAAAAGAGTGTTAAGAGAATGATAAGCCAAGTCACAGGAGAAAAAATATTTGCAAATCACTTATGTGATAAATGGGGCTTCATGGTAGCTCAGCTGGTAAAGAGTCTGCCTGCAATGCAGGAGACCCTGGTTAGATTCCTGGGTCGAGAAGATTCCCTGGAGAAGGGATAGGCTACCCATTCCAGTATTCTTACCTGGAGAATCCCCATGGACAGAGGAGCCCGGTGGGCTGCAGTCCATGGGGTCACAAAGAGTCAGACACGACTGGGCAACTAAGCACAGCACCACACATGTGATAAATGACTAGTATTCAAAATAGCCCCACAACTATGAAAACTCAATAGTAAGAAGACAAAATAGTCCAATTAACAATGGGCAAATGATCTCAACAGTTGACCAAAAAGCATATACAGACGGGAAGTAGGAAATATGAAAACAAGCTGAACATCAAATGTCAATTGGAAACTGCAAATAAAACAATAAGCTGGCACTACACACGCATGACTGTCAAAAAAAATAGAATACCAATTAGACGTGAAGATCATCCTCATTCACTGTTGTTGCTGTTCAGTCGCTACGTGGCGACTGTGAGTCCCACTCTGTAACCCCCAAGGACTGTACTATTCCAGGCTCCATGAGAGTGCTCCAGGCAAGAATACTAGAGTGTTTTGCCATTTCCTTCTCCATGGAATCTTCCCAGACCAGGGATCCAACTGGAGGCTCCTGAATTGACAAGGGGATTTACCGCTGAGGAAAATGGAATTTGATATCCCTATCAAGGAAGACAGCAGCATTCTCTGAAAACAACAAATACTGTTACTAAGTATCTTAAGACTCAGCTATACCACTCCTTGTTATTTGTTGAAATGAGGACAACTCTTGTATTCACACAAAAGTCATACACAAATAGTTGTATGGGCTCATTCCCAGGGAGCAGAAGTTAACAGGTAAGCAACAAATACTGCAAGAGTCAAATAATCAGTGATACATTCATACAATCAAATACTGTTCACTAATGAAAAGGAATGAAGTGTTAATATCAAACCATGAAAACACATGAAGGAAACGTATTAAAACTGTATTGCAACCTGAAAGGAGCCAATCTGAAAAAGGCAGAAACTGTATGATTCTGAGAATATGAAGGCCTTCAAGTACTTCCCCTTGCAGGCTACAAGAGGCCTTGCTGCTGCTGCTGCTGCCGAGTCGCTTCAGTCGTGTCCAACTCTGTGCGACCCCATCGACGGCAGCCCACCAGGCTCCTCTGTCCCTGGGATTCTCCAGGCAAGAACACTGGAGGGGGCTGTCATTTCCTTCTCCTCCAAGGGGCCTTAGCTGGGCCCTTAGCCTGAAGACAATGAACCCAGGCTCTGCTCCCCACTACAGTTGCCCTACACCACCACTAAAATGTTAAATACACAAATCCCGTTTGACCAATTCAGCAAAAATACTCAAATCCAGTGTTTATGTGGAAATGAGAGAAGACATGCATAAGCCACGTCTACTACTTCACCCAGGAAACCACAAGTAACTCTTCCTTTCATAAAAATATATGTCAATCATTATTTTCAACACAAGTAATCCTCCTCGAATACTTTTTGTCTGCAACTGCAAATCCTGGAATGCCATTGGAAATCGACCAAAAGTAGAGCGCCCCTCGCCCCTATGATTTCACCATACTCACTCAGGGAATGAAAGAAAGTGAAACAAATGGAATGTAAGAATGGACTATTTCCCAGCTGACATTCCCATCTTAAGTCTTCGGAAATATTATATACTGTTCGTTAAGCTCCATTAATTAAATATATCTTACAGTATAGAAAAAAGAAATGAGTAGATCTTCTGAAGGGGACTCACAGGGTAGTTCATCAATAAGTTTCCAAAACAAAAATGAAAACCTTCATGAAAGTATTTCCTATGGAATATCTGTTCCCAGTAAAAAATCGGGCGAAGAATGGCTATCAGACAACCAACTTCCAGGCGGTTACTCTCGGCTTTCCGCTAAGGTAAAATACCTACGGATGTCTCCCCCGCACCCCAGAAAAATGCCATCCAAGACTCTGAGCAAATAGGATAAAAAATTAAAATATTCCGTTTGTTTGAAATGCATCGCAGAGAGGAATAGTTGATCATTTCAATCGGAATCTTGGGAATGAGGGGAACGACCTGGAAGTTTAATGATTACTGCCAATAATAAAAAGGGCTTCTCTGATGGCTCACTGGCAAAAATACAGCCGGCCAACGCAGAAGACGCAGGTTCCATCACTGGCGCTAAAACATCCTGGAGAAGAAGTAAATAGCAAACCCCCTCCAATATTCTTGCCTGGAAATTTCCACGGACAGAGGAGCCGGGGGGCAACAGTAGTCCATGGGGTCTCAAAGCATCGGGCACGATTGAGAAACTAAAAAACAACAAAGAGCTACTAACTGGTGCTAAGGTTTTTGAGATTCCGCGTCCCAAATCTTTGGAAAAATCAGAGGAAACCGGGTGCCTGCCGAGTAAAAAGACAGCCTGGGAGTCCTCAGACAACCCTGGAGGACGAGTTGCGATTGTCCCCTGTAGACAATGCACGTGGTCACGCACAATCTTGGGAAGAAGAGGGGCTGCGCGCGAAGAACCGCCGGAAGAGGCTTCAGGACCGAAGTTCCCGCGCGCAGTGACCGGACCAAACGCCCAGGTCCCAGCTGCCGGGCCATCCCGCCCGCTGAGGGCAGGAGGGGACTGAGGTCCGAGTGGCGCCCCAGATCCCGCGTATCCGCAGACTCGGGCGGTGACCCCGAGGTGCCGGCGGATCAAACCGTAGCCGGCTTCGGCCGGTAGCGACCAGTCCCACCTCGGTGTCGGTAACCCAGTCAGCGGACTCACCATTTCAAGTTGCTCGCAAGTTGCTCTGAGTCCCTCCTAAGAGCTCCAGAGACCTCCGCAGGTCGCAGGGCTTCTGAACGTAAGAGGGACCAAAAAGGTGAAACCGGAAAGACACCGGTCCTTCTCCACAGTGGGAGAAAGGAAGCCCAGGCATTGGCGCAGAATTGCTCCGCCCACCTGCCGCATTGGCCTCCTGGTTGGACAGATTCCGATGTCCCGCCCCTTCCTCCTGAGTGACAACCCGTGGGAGGTGGGATTGGACCTCCCCTAGCCCGTTGCTAGTGCTTGGATAAAGAATTGTTTTGGGATTTGTGATACCTGATTCCATTTCAAGATGGAGCAAGTACAGATAAGATGGTGGCCCTGGCCAGTCCTCCCGGGAACAAAAAGGTCTTAGGTCCTCCCGGGGTCAAGGGCTTGGTGTAAAATTGTGTGGTCAGGCATGGAACTGTGCTCCTTAAGAAAGGCAGACACTGAAATGTGAACTCACCGTCTCTAATAAAGGCGTCGCCTCCATTTTCATCTTTGGTCCTACAGAGGACTGAGCTTTCCACCCATCCCTGCCCCAGCCCCACTCATTCGGTCCTGAAGTTCAAGAATCCCTTGGCTCTGGTAGGAGGTCTGAATCACTCAACCTTACCTGGGTGCCAGCACGAACCTCAGTCAAACCACAGCCTGTGAGGTGTCTTCATTAACTTCTCGGGTGTACGTTTTACACTGGATGAAGTTTTATTGACTAAGTTATTAATTTGTTAATTTTATTCCAGTGTAGCTGACCTATGGGTGTGCAAACCTCAGTAGAATAGCAGGTGAGTCAGTCACATATTTATATATGTTGTAGTTTGGTCATTAAGTCATATATGAAACTTTTGTGACCCTATGGCCTGTAGCCCACCAGCTCCTCTCTCCATGGGATTTCCCAGGCATAACTTAACTGTGATGATTATTGTATGTATCTACGAGTATTTTAAAAGCTTAGTAATGATTAAATAATGGGTGCCTTCTACTGGTGATGGGGTAGGGGTGGACCAGAATACTCTCCAGGTATATTCCAATTGACAGTATCATTTCTTGTTTTTATTGTATTATGGGANAAGCCACAGGATGTGAGGAAGGTACATTAAGTGCTCAGGTGTACATTGAACACTGGAAGAAATTTTATTAATTTATAATTTTTATTGGAATATAGCTGATCCACAATGCTGTGCTAGCTTCAGTTGTCCAGCATGGTGAATCAGTCATGCATATACATATATCAGCTCTTCTTAGATTTTTCTCCCATATAGGCCACTACTGGAGTATAGAGTAGAGTTCCCTGGGCTACAAAGCAGGACCCCATCAGTCATCTATTCTATAGATAGTAGCATGTACACTTCCATCCCAGTGTCCCAATTTATCCCTCCTCCCTTATGCCTTGGTAATTACAAGTTTTCTCTGCACATCCCGACCCTACCTCTGTCCTGCAAACAAGTTGATCCACATATCCTGGTCCGTGCACGGGTTGGAAAAGAATTTCCAGACTTGAGGCAGAACGACAGAGGAATAAAGTTTGTTAGAGTGGGAGATGCTGCTAGAATCAACTCAAGGAGCTGACTGGACTCAAGGGAGAACCAAAGGCTTTTGAAGGCTTCTGGCCAATTTTTATAGCCTCAAGACAGAAAATTCCTACTGGAATGGGGGCATTAGGTGATTGGTTAGGATGCTATAGGGTGTATAGTAGGAGGAGTATTTTACATTATATGGGGTCAGGGAACTGGCCGGTTTATATCCAGAGCCTCATGGCAACAGTTGCTATGGGGCTTGGTCAGTTTCAGAGATTTTTATCCTGTGACCTTGGTGTAGGGCTCTGCACCACCTGTAAGCGACATCCTGTCTCAAGGAAGAGCCTATTCAGACTCTATGCTAGGTCTGCTGCTTTGCTTTTTCATTGCTTTTGTTATTAGTTTTGCTCAGAGGCTCTGTGATGTCCAACTCTTTGAGACCCTGTGGGCTTTGGCCCACCAGGCACCTCTGTCCGTGGAATTTTCTAGGCAAGAATACCGAAGTGGGTTGTCGTTTTCTACTCCAGGGGATCTTCCTGATCCAGGGATCCAACTCACCCACATCTCTTGCCTCTCCTGCATTGGTACACGTGAAAGTAAAAGTCTCCCTGCTGCTGCTGCTAAGTCACTTCAGTCGTGTCCGACTCTGTGCAACTCCATAGACGGCAGCCCACCAGGCTCCCCCGTCCCTGGGATCCAGGCAAGAACACTGGAGTGGGTTGCCATTTTCTTCCCCAATGCATGAAAGTGAAAAGTGAAAGTGAAGTCGCTCAGTCGTGTCCGACTCTTAGCGACCCCATGGATTGCAGCCCACCAGGCTCCTCCGTCCATGGGATTTTCCATGCAAGAGTAAAAGTAGCTCAGTCATGTCTGAATCTGCGAGTCCATGGAATTCTCCAGGCCAGAATACTGGAGTGCTTAACCTATCCCTTCTCCAGAGGATATTCCCAACCCAGCACTCGAACCGGGATCTCCTACACGGCAGGCGGATTCTTTACCAGCTTAGGCACGAGGGAAGCTACAGCTACCACGGAAGCCCCAGGAAGCGAGCACAGGGAGCCGGGCGCGGGGCGCAGGGGCAACGAGCGGCAGCGGAAACCCAACGAGGTGAGGAAGAACGCGGAATGGCCTCCCGGGCTCCCGCGGGGCCACCCTCCCTGGGCTCGCGCCCACCACCGCTAACACCCAGAGCCACAGCCGGCCCTGGAGAACGCTGTCCCGCCGAGTACCGCGCCCCACGGCCCTCAGGCACTGCTCCGCCCGGGACGCCACCCACATAAGATGAGGCAGGTTCGGTCCCAGACAGGGGAAGCGGGCGCGGGCGGTCACTGGTCCGGGACCGGGTAATGGGTGCGGGGTCGGGGGCCGGAGGGGAGGCCAGCAGCGACGGGGAGGGGCGGCAACCACGCAGAGCGAGGGCCGCGGGACAGGGACCAGAAAGGGCGAGACACGGACGGGCCATCAGGAAAACAAGAGCAGGGTCCCGCCACACACCCGACTGCGGTCCGCTGACGCCTGGGAGGCCCGACTCCCACAGTCCAGCCCCGCCGCGCCGGGGAGACCCGCGTGCCGTCACAGCTCTAACGCATGCTGCAGGAAGGTCCTGGTCACCCATGTCTTCCGTCCGTCTGTTGCAGGAAGGGGGACCCCTTCCAGGGCCCGAAACTGGGCTCTTGTCTGACACAGGGACATGAATTGTGTGAGGAGACACATGTGTTGACAAAGCAAGAGATTTTATTGGGAAAGGGCGCCAGGGGCGGGGAGTAGTACCGATAAGGGAACCCAGAACTGCTCTGCCACGTGGTTCGCAGTCCTGGCTTTTAAAAGCCAAGTAATGGGATTTAAAAGCCATAGTGATGGGATTAGTTGCCGGGTTGTCTTTAGCCAACCATTCTAACTCAAGTGTTCTTCCTGGTGGTGCTCACCTCCTTCAGCAAAGAGGGATGCCAGTGAGGGTTCTGGGAGGTGTTCAGACATGTGCTGTCTCTTTTTGACACTTGGGGATCTCTTTCTGCTGGTGGTGGCTTATTAGATCCGAGTTCCTTACCAGGACCTCCTGTCATAAAACAACTGGTGGAAATGGTTACTATGGTGCCTGGCCAGGGTGGGCGGTTTCAGTCAGTGTGCTTCCCCAGACAACTCCCCTCTGGAGACTTCATACTCAAGATCTTTAAACTTAAGAGTTGAGGGTGATGACAGCCTCTCATTGGATGAACATTTGAAGCAGTTGATTTATTGTAGGAGATCCATACATTTTTTTCTATGTGACCTATAATGGATCATTCTTTCGTGATGAAGAGTCTCTTGCTGGGGTGTGTAAATAAATTGCCAATTCCTCTAACTGATAAGGAGAGGACATGGGTTAGAAATCCTCTGATTAACAAATTGAAGAATAAAACCCACAACATATCAATTGATGTAGGAAAAGATTTAGAAAAATTTCAGCATCTGGGTTCCCTGCTGGTCCAGTGGTTAAGAGTCCACCTTGCGATATAGGGCACACTGGTTTCATCCTTGATCCGGGAAGATCCCACATCCCACAGAACAACTAATAAGCCCATGTGCCAAAACTACTGAGCCTGCGCTTTAGACCCCTTAACAAGAAAACCCACCGCAATGAGAAGTCCATGCAAGGCAACTAGAGTAGCCCCCACTTCAGCAACTAAAGAAAGCCGAGTGTAGCAACAAAGACCCAGCACAGCCGAAATAACTAAAAATTATTAAAAAACATTTCCAACATTCATCTATGATAAAACCCCCCAAAAGTGTGCACTGGAAACATCAATGTGATAATAGCCATATATGACAAACCCACAGCTAATATATGCTCAGTCACTAAGTCGTGTCTGACTCTGACCCCATGGACTGTAGCCCGCCAGGGTCCTCTGTCTATGGGATTTCTCAGGCAAGAATGTTGAAGTGGGTTGTCATTTTCTTCTCCAGGGATTTTCTCAACTCAGGGATCAAACTTGAGTCTCCTGCATTCATAGGTGGATTCTTTACCATTTTGGCACTAGGGTTTCCTTTTACTCCCCTGGAACAAGGCAATTCCAGCCTCATATACGCCTTTACCTAAAGACACGGGTTCCAGGCAACATACATACCAGCTGAGGACCACTTTAACAAAAGGCCTAAGAAAAGACAAGAAATTTCCAAAACTTCCAACTGTATTATTTTTCATGGTGCTGAATCTTAGTCGCCTGTGCGTGGGCTTTCTCTAGCTTTGGTGAGTGGCTGCGCCACCAGGGAAGCCCCCAAGTACTGGGGACTTTACAAGACCAGAAGTATGGCTCCAATAAATAAATAAATAAATAAATAAATAAAATAATAATCCAAAGCCCACCAGACCTCTTACCACTACCAAAACTTCCCCTATTTTTCTAAAGAGGCTTGTTAAGTATTAAAGAGGAAACAGCCATCCTAGGAAGGACTTGCCTGTATGTTTGAGATGCAAATGTCCTAACTGGTCTTCTCCTGAATCCTTATCTCTGCCTTTGTTTTAAAATGAAAGTTGTAAAATGCAAATGAATAAGAACTTTGGGTGAAGTTTAGTAATAATTATGTTTTGAAAAAAAATTACGTTTTGGAGTCTCTCCAGATATTGAACAACTTGAAACTTAAAATTGNGACCCAGAGGGATGGGATGGGGAGGGAAGCGGGAGGAGGGATCGGGATGGGGAATACATGTAAATCCATGGCTGATTCATGTCAATGTATGACAAAAACCACTACAATATTGTAAAGTAATTAGCCTCCACCTAATAAAAATAAATGAAAAAAAAAAACCCTTTTGAATTTTTGAAATCAAATTATAATGAAGTTTCTTTGACCTCTGGCTAACTTGGGATACTTCAAAGGGCCCTTTAAAAAACTTAGACAGAGATACTAAACTAATAGGTTCATTTGGTATGTTAAATTACATGGGAAGTATTATCAAATGAGTAATAAATCTTCTTAGGTTATATTGTATGGTAAAAATGGATTATGTCCTAGTAAAATATCAGTCATAATTCTAGTTATTATCTGAAAGTATTGTATGTCACAGCAGTTAGAAAGTTACCTTGTCAGTTTTCTTTGTAATCAGATTTAAATGTGCCTTCTTAAGTCTTTTGTCATTATAGATAACTATGGTTTTCACTGTGATGCCTTTTCAAAAATGCCTCTTCAGGAAGACTTATAAAAAGGACTTTTGGATAAATACAAGTTTCTGATTTTCATACCATACTGCTAAACTGGGTAAGAAATCAAAGAATTCTAATGGGAAACCTGATGGCTTCATAAAGCTGTTAAACAAAAAGGATTAATTATATAGGGCTAAGTGAACTGGGAAATAATGTTATAATTTTTATGGTTTCTATCTAAAAAAATTACTGGCTTATATCTGTTACCCAGGGGTAAGGGAAATCTTCCCCGTAACCTAATTATGATTTAGAAATGTAGTAAATTAAACCTTTTTAAGAAGAATTGAAAGATGTACTTTTTTTATGTCTACCTGGTTGATTGTGCCAGTAACATATGCTTGTCTCAAAGATTAAGCTATGCATATCTGGATGTGCACAGCTGGTACAGTGTAACTGTAGATAGCTCATTAAATCATTTATGGCCCCTTTGGCTGCTCAGTTATTGCAACTGGATTACAACTAGTTATACTGATCACTGTTTTCATTTAATGTTTATTTTCAAATCATGCTTTGTGTCTCCTTGTTGCAGTATGTCTTTTTCAGTGTTACTAGCTATATTACTTATATCTTGGCTAATTTCTAAGACTGTTGTCTATTTTTTAAAATACTTACTCATTTGGCTGCTGTGGGTCTTAGTTGCGGCATGCAGGATCTTTTAGTTGTGGCTTCTGGGATCTATTTCTCCAACCAGGGATTGAACCCAGGCCCCCCTGCATTGAGAGCTCAAAGTCTTAGCCACTGGGCTACCTGGGAAGTCCCCATAAGACTTACAGCATTATGTAAGACATAAGTCTCTTACAGTACCTAGTACATAGCCTGGTCTCCAACAAAAAACTTAACATGGGTAAACATCTTGAGGAAATACAAAGTAATTGCAATAGTATGACTCTAGGTATGGGAAGAGGCAACAAGGGAAAAATGTCTCCTGGATCATAGTTAGGCCCATGATCCAGAGAATCTTTAATTATTGATGGGAATCTAATACAAAATTTTTAACACCTGGAGTGGCACATCAAGCATTTTCAACCAACCTGGGATGAAACTCCCAGGGCCTTGGAAGAAAATTTGATTATGAAATGTCTCCCAAATATTGGTCAAATTCCTGACCAAGAGCAGAGGATCTGAGAAATGCTGCTATATCAGTCATCAGTGATTGCAGCCCTTCAACACAAGTTGGTAAGCAATGAGGAAATTCGGGATATGGGACACAGGCCCCCAGATCAAGGAAATTATTTCAGGGAGCCCATATGGTTGCATCTTCCCATACATAGAAAAATCCTACATGCCTTAATTTGAAATTTAGGTTGTCAATATTTCTAAGTCTACAGGTATAAAGTAGACACTTTCCAAAGAAGAACAAGGAAGACAAATCTCAACATTTGGAATCCTGGCAGTGATGGCAGTCACTCCCAGATGATCCACGTGATGAAGCAGTTAGAATGATCACCACCTATTTCCCACAAGATTGTGTAATGGACATTGACTGGGGTCACTGACAGTCTGGCATCTTCTCAGTCTGCCAGTTTTCTGAATAAAGTCATTCCTTGCCTCAACACCTTGTCTCTTGCTTAATTGGTCTNTGTAATGGACATTGACTGGGGTCACTGACAGTCTGGCATCTTCTCAGTCTGCCAGTTTTCTGAATAAAGTCATTCCTTGCCTCAACACCTTGTCTTTTGCTTAATTGGTCTGTTATGCATCGAACAGAGTGAGCTTGGACTCAGTCACAGATTCAGTCTCTTAGAAAATTTCAGTTGTACACTACAATGTGAAATATCAGATTGAAACAGGAGGCCAGGGGGGAGGGGCACAACCTTTAAAGAATTGCATAGCCATGAATAGAACCAAGTAGGTCCAAGGTGGTAGAAGATTTGGCTTCTAGTGAAATTTGAGCCTCATTTTATGCTTATTATATTAGCATCTGAATGACACACTCACCAGCACCATGACACTTCCAAGACTGACCATAAAAGGTCAAAAAATTGGGTAATGGCCCAGTTTCTAGAACCTCCCTGCTCCAAATGAAAGAAGAATCAAACACTTCCACTCCCTATGAAATTACCCAGATGATATAAATTAACCACTGCATACTTCTGGCCTGTTGCCCAACCCATATGCTCTGAGATTCCTTAGTTTAAGATACCTAATGAGTTTCTAAGGGGATGGTGTTGGGATGGGTGGAAAGCTCAGAACTTTCAAGGACCAAAGATGAAAGTGAAGCCAGTCCCTTTATTTACGTTTACAAGTCTGTGGACAATTTCTAAAGTCTTTATTGCATTTGTTACAGTATTATTGGGATCTTAGCTCCCTGGCCAGGGATCAAAGCCAGGCCCCCTGCAATGGAAGGCCAAGTCCTAACCACTGAATCGCCAGGGAAGTCCCCCTGGACATCCTCTTATCTATAATTGTTGATGTTTAGTCACTCAGTTGTATCCAACTCTTAGCAACCCCAGGTACTATGGCATGCCAGCCTTCCCTGCCCTTCATTATCTCCCAGAGTTTGCGCAAATTCATGTCCATTGAATTGGTAATGCCATCCAACCATCTTGCCCTCTGTTGCCCCCTTCTCCTCCTGAGGCCAAGTCTTTTTTTTATTTTTTATTTATTTTTTATTTTTTTCATTTACTTTTATTAGTTGGAGGCTAATTATTTTACAACATTGCAGTGGTTTTTGTCATACATTGAAATGAATTAGCCATGGATTTACATGTATTCCCCATCCCGGTCCCCCCTCCCGGAAGGCCAAGTCTTAACCACTGAATCGCCAGGGAAGTCCCCCTGGACATCCTCTTATCTATAGTTGTTGATGTTTAGTCACTCAGTTGTATCCAACTCTTTGCAACCCCATGTACTGTGGCATGCCAGCCTTCCCTGCCCTTCATTATCTCTCAGAGTTTGTGCAAATTCATGTCCATTGAATTGGTAATGCCATCCAACCATCTTGCCCTCTGTTGCCCCCTTCTCCTCCTGCCCTCAGTCTTTCCTAGCATCAGGGTCTCTTCCAATGAGTCGGTTCTTTGCATCAGGTGGTCAAAGTATTGGCACTTCATCTTCAGCATCAGTCCTTCCAATGAATAGTTAGGGTTGATTTCCTTTAGAATAGACTGATCTCCTTGTTACACATGATGGCAGAGTAGAAGGATGTGCGCTCATTTTCTCCTGTGAGAACTCCAAAATTGCAACTTACTGTTGAACAGCCACTGACAGGAGAATGTTGGATCCCACCAAAAAGATACCCCACCTCCAAGGGCAAAGGAGAAGCCCCAACAAGATGGCCAGAGGGGTGAAATTGCATTTAGAATCAAACCCCATACCCGCCAGAGACTCTCAAAGGGCTCAAACAAAACCTTGTGTGCACCAGGACTCAAGAGACCCTACAGAGACTGAGCCATACCTCCTTTTTAGTGTTTGTGTCTCCTGTGGAGGCATTGGTCTCTAGTGGCCTGCCTCAGGGAGCGGGGCTCTGGCTGCAGCGGACCTGGGACATGTGGTATGTGCATAAGCCCTCTTGGAAGAGGTCACCATTAGCTCCACTATAGAGTCACCAAGCAGATGACCCACAAACTGCAGAACACTGTTAAGAAAGTTATAGGACCCACGACAGATTTTTCAATCTGGGGATCCAGCAAGGGGACAGAGAACCTGCAGGGAATTTGACTTTGGAAGCCAGTGAGATTTGATTACAGAACTTCCATAGGACTGGGGAAACAGACTCTTGGAGGGCACAAGCAAAAGCTTGTGCATGCCAGGACCCAGGAGAAAGGTGCAGAGTCCCCACAAGAGACTGAGTCAGACCAGCCTGTGACTGTCTAGGAGTTTCCAGTGGGCGCGTGGGTTGACAGAGGTCTGCCATGGGGTCAGGGGCACTGAATACAACAGTGCAGGCATAAGTCCTTTTGAAGGAGTTTGCCATTACTGCCATTACCCCTGCCATAGTTTGAACTCAGGCCAAACAACAGGGAGGGAAGACAGCCCTGCCCATCAACAGGTAATTGGATTAAAGATTTACTGAGCATGAAAATGAAAGGTTGCTGTTGACTAACTTCTGCAGATGGCTCTATTTGTTCCCAGCATATAGGGGCAGTAGATACTAGACGTCCTTTTTCAGGAGTTAACCATATAACCTCATCCCATATTTGATAAACGTCAGGTAAAAAACCATTAGATCTAGACCTATTTGCCTTATGTGTAGCAAAATAGTCATTGAACCGAGACAATGTATAATCAAAATTAAAAGTCACATTATGTCCATAATTAAAGTACAACATGTTGCACCAGTCCATTTTAGGGTTGTTAGATGTCATCAGATGAAGAAGAAGCATCACATATGATTGTTGTCGAAGGTATTCGCAGACTTGGAGGAAGTCTTTTCCTTGAAGTGGAGATGTCCACTATCGGAAGCCTTCCTCTAATGAAGAGGGGAGCACTCCACAGACCCAGCCGTTAGACTGATTGTGTAGGAGTGAGCCCAGGACAGGAAGGCATTGTCTTAGGATCAAAAGGCAGACTCAGGATTTTTAGAGTCAGCATAAGTAGGCTCACATAGATTATCAGACCCATCTGAAAAGTAAAAAGTCAGAGCATAGAAAGTAAAGACATAAAATGACATCACTTAGTTCTGGTCAGGGTGCCACCTCTTAACTCAAGTGTGATGAATCAATTCCTGGCACTTTGACAGCTGTGGGAGAAGAAAGAATAACCTGGTAAGGGCCTTCCCAGAGGGGCTCGAGGGATGGGCCCCCAGACCCCAATGTTTTTATGAGGACCTCGGTTCCTAGCTCAAATAGAGGCTTGCTTGACTCAGAGGCTGGGTCAGGAGTCATCTCCAGAGTTCTGTTAATGCCTGTTGAAAAGCTGAGAGCTGAGTTACATAATTAGTTAATTCCAAGGCTTCAGGGTCTATAACAATGTCCTGCGTAAGCCTTCCATAAATACATTCAAAGGCAGATAGTCCCTCCTTTTTTGGGGGCAGTTCAAGCCCTCATTAAAGCTATGGGTAGGACTTTAATCCAATTGTCCTGTGTCTCTTGAGTTAATTTGCGCAAATGTCCTTTGATAATGTCATTAGCTTTTTCAACCTTTCCTGAGGATTGGGGTCTCCAGGAACAGTGTAAGTGATACTCTATTCCTAGAGCTTTAGACACCCCCTGAGTTACAGCAGCTTTAAAGGCGGAGCCATTGTCACTCTGAAGGCTCCGTGGCAGCCCAAACCTGGGGATAATTTCATGGATTAAAATCTTTATAACCTCTTTAGCTTGTTCACTACGACAGGGGAAAGCCTCAATCCATCCAGTAAAAGTATCCACCCAAACTTGTAAGCAAGAATATCCATTAGCTTTTGGCATATGAGTAAAATCAATTTCCCAGTCTTCTCCAGGATACTTTCCCTTTCGTTGTAACCCAGATTTGGCTAGCTTTTCAGTCTTTGGGTTATTTTTCTGACAAACCTCACATCGTTTGATAATGTTCTTTAAAGTTTTCATTACATTTTTACCTTCAAACAAACGAGAAGCCATCTGGTAAGTACTTTCTACACCCAAATGAAAACTCTGATGTAAACCCTTAAGAATTTTCCACTGAGCATTCTCAGGAATTATTAATCGTCCATCCTCGGACTGTAACCATCCTTTATCAGTAATCTTTGCTCCTCTTTTCTCATATCTTTCTAATTCTTCCTCAGTATATTGTGGTTTTTCCTGTTCCACAGGACCTGTCCAGATCAAAGGCGTCTG